CTGAGGATCCCTCTGGTTCCATCTGTGGGTCTTGCCCCTTGCGCGCGTCTGAGTGAATGGCATTTGAGAAAACCCATCTTTGAGCCGTGTCGGCATCAGGTCTTTAACATCTCGAGCGTCACCACGATCAACGGACTTAACATCGTCCTGCTTATGCATCGCAGAGAGTTCGCAATAACGGTGCACAGACATGGTTTCAACAGCATCGTCTGAATGCTTCCGCGAAGAAGCCGCGAGAAGCACATTTGACACAATTATGATGCGTCCCGGCGAACTTGGATCCACAGTGCGCTCTGCTTCGTTTAGAAGCTCGACCAGGTGCTCGAGGGCCCAAGCCAGGGAGGTAGCACCATCCCATGCATCATGGAGGCGTAAAACAGTGATAGATCCGAGGGAGGTTACACATAGTGGAGCTGCGAGTGGCTTGCCTGAACAAAAGTTGAAGGTAGAGCAGTGCTGTACTAGGCCTTCTAAGATGTCAAATGTAGCTTTTGTTTGCCATCTCTCGCTATCGAAGGTATGATGATCCCTGGCAAAGCAACTGGGCGCAACGCAGCTGAGATTGTCAATGATTGCGTGTAATGGCCTAGACATCGGTAGTCATTTGTGCGTCGACCCTCAGGGACTAACCTGGCTGCATACCCATCGTTGCCACAAAGTTTCCAGCTTGGTGCCGATTGCTTGGCTTCACCATATTCAAGCTGAGAATGTCGGTTTTACGGATACTTTTCGGACAAAGACGCGGGTAACGCACATTCGGTAAGTGTAGGGCTCCTGCGATCATTGCTGCGCTGACGCTCAAGCTGACATCTTGAGGGGCACGCGAGAGCGGATGATGACGGTGATCTGACGAATCATTGCTCTTCGCCTCGCAAATTGGTGCGATGGCCAGCGTCTGGTTGAGTAGGAAATGGAGGCGGCATGCGGTCAGTTGCGTCAGGGGCTGGACACCCAATTCAAGTAGAACATCCGAGTCGGCCGCAACTGTGAGCAGATTTGGAGCTACAGCTGCCTACAAAGTGGCGCTGCTAACCTTGAGAGTCAAGTATGAACGCTGGCTCGTGGGCGCGATGCCGCACACACGAAATGTCGAGACGGGTCCACCCAGAGCAATTACTGCAACTCGGACTGCGCCCTGTTGTCGGCGCCGCGCGTGGGGTCCGAGCCCATCC